ATGGCTTTACATATACTGTAGTAAACAATTGACCATCTTGATTCTCTATATGTAAGTCGAGAAAATCAACTGCTAAACCTATATTTTCAGATAATTTAATATTTTCGTCGAAATGATTCCATTTATCAATTTGTTTAAATAAATGCCGAACAGGCCAATTAATTGCTATAAAAATATCATCAATATATCTAGAATATAATCCACCACTATTGTTGATTTGTTTTATAATTTGTTGTTCATAAAAGAACATATAGCAATTAGCAACCGTTAGTGTAGGAGGAGACCCCATTGGTCCTCCACGAATTTGATGATAAAATTGGCCATCGTAAGAAAAATAATTATTTTTCATTACAAATCGGCTCAATCTAATTATTGTTTCAATTTTAAGACCACTAATTTGTTTTAATTTTAAATAATCTAACATTTTCTTTAATGACAATACTCCTTCTGTCTGTGGCACCATTGTATACAGGTCCATAACATCAATAGTACAAAATAAGGTTTCTTGACGCATATTAATTCTTGACCATTGTTGCAATTGTTTGACTAATTCAAAGCCTGAATTTACAGTTGTTTTTGCAGCCATTTTATCAAATAATGGTCGAAGTAAATCATCAAGAAATTTTGAAATTTTTATTGTTGGATGCTTAAGACCAGATATTATTGGACGAAGAGGAGTACCAGGTTTGTGCGCCTTAGGTAAATAATATAAATGAGCAAGTACACTTTCATTTGGATTAATACATAATTTTTCATATTGTTTTTGAGTAATCCACTTGGCTAATCGTAAATCTAATAAATATTTATTTGTTCGTTGCACTAAATCAGGTAATGGATCTTCTTTGCCAAGACATTTATATGCTTGAGTTTTTTCCATATATTCCTTTGATTTCTTTCTATAATCTTCGTTTTTACCTAAATGGAATACTTTAGATTTATCGGATTTCTGTAATATAATATTTGCCAATTTAAATTTGTATTTCAATCTTTTAACTAATCTTCCATAATTTTTCTTTTTCTTCACTTTTGCCATATTAAAAACTTGTGATTGAATTGCTTGACTATTTATTAATTCAATAATATCATTTTGACTATTTTGACTTCCCATTACTTTATTCTTATTTAAATTTTTATTTGCTATTGGAGCATTATGTAACGTTTGAAGAAGAACATCTAATTCAGCTATAAATTCTTGAAGGGGACGACCAGGGCTCACTTTTTTTTGAAAAAAAGAACTTTCTATTTTACGTTTTAAAGTAGCCAACTCAGTTAAACGTCTCCGAGCTGCTGTTTTTGGATCATTAAATATGAACTTTGGTCCTAATTTTAATACTTGATGTTCTTCTTCAGTTAATCGTATATTTGCTTCATTAATTATTGCTGGAGCAAGAAATCCTCGCCCAGCGAACGTATTAGAGTCGGAGCGATTATTTCCTCTTCTGGATTGTTGGTTTCGCCCTCGACTCGCTGTTCGAATAAAAAATAAAGTGATTGTTCAATTTCTAATTTCATTCTTTTCTCTCGTAATTCATGATATTGTTTAAAAGCTGCATAACCAGGTTCAGCATCAAATCCATCATCATTTTCATTCGAAAATCTTTCGATCATACCTTTTATTTCATTCGATAAGATTTCATTTTCGCGAGCAGCTGATTGAACATATAATTTCATTGCTTGAGTACGAAAATCTTTTGTAGTTTGACGCATTTGATTATACATGGCTTGTGCTTCATCTTGATTAATGATTGATTCATCAATTTTAAAAGAAAAATCAACTTTATCAATAATTTTTGGAGGCATATCTAATTCAACACGTTTTGATAGTATTTGATAATTTTTATTTTTAGTTGACCATAGCTTCACTTTAGGTTTCAACAAGAAATGAGTATTCCATTGGGTTGGGGTGGCTATTTGTTCAAAATCTTCTAAAGCTTTATATTCTTCCATTTGAGCTTTAGCTAATTGTATTCGAGTTTGAGCCATCTTTTTCACGTGTTGAGTACAAAAATGAATATATTCTAATATGTATTTTTCAATACGTTCAACTGGTTCGCGTACATAATTTTTAACAGTAGTCGTTGGAGCAGTTCCTGTAGTTCCTGTACCTAATTCATCATCTGTATCTGTTTCGACAGTTCCTGCAGCAGTTGTTTGACGTGCTCTATCGACTGATTATTGTTTAGCTACTATATTAGCTGTTGTTTGAGCTAATCTTTGATTTGTAGTTTCAGAAATTGTTTGCATCCAATAAGTAGATAATTGAATTTGTAATTCTGAAATAGTAGCACATGCTTCAGCAATAGCAGTTGTTAATCGATTAATTTTCTTTCGAACAAATCGAGTATTGATGACATCATCTCGTCTTTTTGTACGTCAAACGACTTCTTTAGCCCAATGTTTCTGTTCAGTACCCATTTTTAAATATGCTTGCCAAACTTGTAATTCATAATTATTTCTAACTCATTCATCATAGATAGATGTTGAAGCTAAGACATATGCTTGATTACCACGACCACTTATAGCATTTTTTGAACTTCTTGAATGTTCTTCTAACCATTTTAATATACGATTTGGTTCTAGATATCAACGAAGCTTTTTCTTATTTTTATCTTTTCTTGTTTTCTTATTAACATTTAACGTCATCGCTTCATCTTTCACTTCTACTTCTACATCAGATAAATTTTCATTTTCATCAGCTAATACAGCAAATCGTTTATTACGACGTTGCCGACGTGTAAATGAAGACGTAGTTTTACGTTGTCGTTGATTTTATCGCTGTCTTTGTAGCTGTTGATTTTGATTAGTATTATTCACTGTAAAAGGTTGAGTCGTATTTCTTTGAGCAAATCTTTCACGCTGTGGTAATGCATCTGGTGGAACATCCGTAGTTGTTGTTGTAGCGATATTAAATTCCGGTGGAAGATTTGGTGAAGGTTCACGTAATTCAGTTGGCATAAAATCATTTAAACGAATTGTTCGTGGACCTCGTCTTCTTGGACGATTGTTAAATCGACGCCGACTAGAAGATCTAACCGGTTGAATTGGTCTTAATTGTTGTTGTTGTCGCTGACCTACGAAACCATATCCACCTATATCATTTGGAATAAAATATTGTCGTGGTATCCGATAATTCCGATTATAAAAGAAATTTCGACGATAATAATTTGGAGGATAACGTCGATAATTAAATATATTGCCTCTATTTCGACGATAAAATTGATTGCCATCTATATAATAATTATTGCGCCCTAAATAGTTATTGTTACGCCCTAAATAATTATTGTTGCGCCCTAAAACACCACCACGACGACTTATGTTTCTTACCAGACGTGGTGGTGCATTGGGATCTCGTAATGGTATTTGATTATTAGTATTATTATTATTGTAATTGATGGACGACATGTATCGTTGAATAAGTTGAGAGATAAGTGGATCAAATTAGAATAATAGTATTCTAATAATTTGATGCCTGATATAATTTAATGTCCGTAAATCAAATAGAAACAAATCAATCTATATCCCTCCGATACAAATCAATCTGCTAGTCTCAACTATTGCTTTTCAGCAACCGATGAAGTCGTAGTTAATTTGACAAATTGAAAATCCGTGCTTTATGAAATAATAAAAAGAGCATGCAGAGTTTTCTTTCGCCGACGCGTTTCGTATCTTTTAGAAGATAGTACTCTTCAGGGCTTCGAATGGAGATATGTATGTAAATATCTAGAATAGTGAATAAATCTTAAATATCAACTTATATCGAAGTAGATTAAAGTAGTTCGAGTAACTTTTTCCTTGTTGTAAAAATTAAGAATAGAAAAATATTCAGTCTTTAATAAATAATTGACACGGAAAGTCTTATGACTTGTACCAGAGTATATTTACGTATGGGATATATTCAATACAATCTGGTATTAGTACATACATACATGTACCAAAGCTGGAGTCTGATGTATAAAAAATACAAATTGAATGTTTCGATACATTCAAAGAAATGAAGCGATTGAAAAAGTGAGACATTCATATGTAATATTGTACTTACCTCGACCAACCTAAAAGATTAAATGACTGTTGGTAGTAGATACATGTCCTTTTCATACATGAATAAGAGAGAGAGAAATAGAAAAAAATAGAAAAGATATTTTTCTCTCTCATATTCTTGAATTTGACTGGTTACTTTATGATTGAGACCATTGACTAATCGAAAGTGAAAAAGAAAAAAGAATAGTTCGATGGGCCCTATTTATACTTCTCTCTTGACCTGAGTTACATCACACCCTCCATCCAGAACATTCTAGTATTGGATTTGCTTGCGTAATCATTTTCTTCATAAATAGAAGCCAAGAAATAATCAATATTGTTTTGTTTTGTGTGTCGCTAGTATATCAACCGATATTGAAATGTTCATCTCAAATCGAAGAACGTTTTTTAGTAGATAATTTCGAGATAATATCGAAATTTATTATTAGTAATGTAATCGACAGTATACAAGACAATATTGAAAACGTTCGTGTCAAATCGAAGGACGTTTTTATGTACTCAGAAAGTAAGTACACTATAGAGTCGGTTAGTGTGTCCGTCCGGCCGTTTACACGACAACTTTTGAAAGGATAGTCCGATCGTGATGAAATTTTCTACACAGCTTAGTCTTAACAATATCTCGGTCGAGTTCGACGATGAGAATGATTGGCCTAGCCATTGCTGATTTATTGGGAAAATAGTCATTTTTCCCTATGCTTCCCTATGAGACGATAGATCCATCTCTGTCTTCGTAAAAAACTTTTCCTATCATAGTCAAATAAAATCCCAACTATTATATACAATTCGATAGAGAATTTCACGAGCTATAAAATGGTATATAAAACATAAGGAAACAAGAAAGTTAACTCACCTATTGCAAAGATAATTAAACGGAATTCGGTTGTGTGTTTGTCCACGCTCTAATTGATCCATAAATAGAGCTCGTTCTTCCGATCACAGAGATGACAGTTCAAGGTTTTCTGTGGTGGAGAACTCGAATCTGTGTTCCATTTGCCTCGAAATTCCATTGGTTGAGCAGTGACCAATAGAAATCAAGTTATATGAAAAACGAGTTTCTTAGGGTAAATCAAGGTGAAGAGTTCAAATCTGAGCTGTATCTGCCTCCAAATCCTATTGATTGAGCAGTAGCCAATAGAAATCAAGTGTTTATAGAAAAGGTTTGCCAGGACAATGTTGATGTCCACACATTCTAGGATGATTCATCTGTCTCATTCACTTTTTGAAGTACACATAACTCTCGGATTTAAATCCGAGGTTTCCGCATTTATTTAGTACATAATTTCTAGATAATACCCAAATATATTAGTGGTAATATAATCGACAGTATACGAGACGACATTAAAACATTCATCTCAAATCGAATAACGTTTTTAGCGCATAACTTTGATATACTATCGAAATATATTAGTAGTAATTTGAACGACAGTATACAAGACGAGATTGAAACGTTCGTCTCAAATCGAAGAACGTTTTCTAGTACATAATTTTGAGATACTATAGTAATATATTCGTAGTAATATAATCGACAATATGCAAGACGTAATTAAAACGTTCGTCTCAAATCGATGAACGTTTTTCACTACATTATTTTGAGATAATATCGAAACAGATTAGTAGTTATGGAATCCATAGCATACGAGGCGATAATGAAACGTTCGTCTTAAATCGAAGAACGTTTTACAATACATAATATCGAGATAAAATCAAATTATATTAGCAGTAATGTAATCGATAGTATACGAGACGACATTGAAACGTCCGTTTCAAATCAAAGAACGTTTTCTGGTGCATAATTTTGAGATAATATCGA